AGAGGAAAAGCAATTAGTTTTCATGATTTATTAAACTGAAACCTAGGATAGACTACTTGAACACAGAGCACAGAGGAATTCCACATTCGCAGCGATTCGGCACGAGTCCAACATTTATTTCCAAGTACGGCTAGCTCGCAGCTCAGGTACTGAGATTTTCGGAACCCAAAATGGGGTTCGGAGCCCGATGAGCCCCAATACTCGAATCGCCAATACTCTGGGTACCTTGAAGCAGCGTGTGTGGGTGTGCGTGTGCGCGTTGGCGAGCTCGCGATTCGCCTTCAGCCGCGTTCGACTAGACCTCGCAATGGTCGACTGAGCGCTCGTTTCCGCGCGGCATCTTGACCCCGTGAACCCTGACTACTTAACCGCCTCCGATACCGCGTTTCTAGTTAACAATAATAATGCGTCCGCGCGTACTCGTCGACTCGCGTCAGCCCCTCCTGCATTATTCATACGCATCGGCAATTAAAGTCGAGCGCCCGCTCAGCCCGCGGCCACCCATGTGTGTAAGTGAGGAGCTGCAAGCTCGGCGTGCTTTCCGTGCTCCGACTGACGACTCTGACTCACTTGAGGAAAGGACGCCTTATTCCCCTTCTTCTTTATTTCGAAAATGTGTGCGATTTTTAATATCGAGCGCTCAAGAGAGTTTGGAAAGTCGTAGGAGCTAATGATTTATGGTTCAGTTTAGAAAGTTGATAGCTATAATTGCAAACACTAACTCACTTAGTTATACACTTGGATGAACATGTAACAACGACGTATCTAAGATACTGCAATGTTCGTCCAACTCTATAATATATAATTTATATTCCTTTTATATTTATATTATCAGCGCCTGAAAAGCCAATCGCAATCTATGTAAAATGGTAATAACGGAATTATTTTATCATTTAATTGAGATGTCGTGAAAGATATCGAATGACATTCACTTTAAAACATTATAGAATGACAGTTTTGCTTTTATTTTTATAAAATTAGGATTTTCGAGAGCAATTTGTGCCTTCCGAGGCATTGATTTTCTATATTCATTTATATCAGTAAATGTAATGCCAATCATATTCATGTCTAGATTAAAATACATCCTTATTAAATAAAGAAGAACATGAAAATACATTTGATAAATACAACAGCTATAATCACTTGTCAAAATTATAATTTACATTAAAAGTATATATATTAATAAACAATATATTAAAGTAATTATTAATTTTGTAATTAATAGAGTAAGCATCGTACGAATTCTGTCGGAAAAAAATTGATTCTTTCTCATTTTACGGATATAGTAGATATTCGACAAGCTATAGTTTAAATATATTATTTTAGAATTAATTTTAAAACTTCTACGAACTTTATTTTCAACATTACAAATTTACAAACTTATAATTACATCTTATAATGAATGGCAATCGTTACGTCTAAAACAATATTTAAGATTTTAGTTAACGATAATTCATGGCTTGATAAGAAAAACGTGTGGATTTCTTATTTACATTTTAATTGTTATTTTAATATTATTTAATGCACATATAATTACTCGATTAAAATACTTAATTAAATGCCTTGTTCATTTATCTTACAAAGAAACTAAATGTGCAACTGTAGTTCAGTTTATGATTTAAATGACTTTTTACAACATTATTTATGAAAATACAATTTAAATAGATAAAATAATAGATATATAGATCTATGTATTGAGTGAAAAAAATATTTCCAAATTGACGTATATACAATTATATTATATTATCTTTATATAAGACCGAATGAGAGATTTGTTTTTATCGTGTGCAATAAATACAAAATAGTTCCATTACTTTTTATTTATTCAAAGTGAAACGATGATAATTATTTATAAGAAAGAGAGAGAGAGAGAGAGAGAGAGAGAGAGAGAGAGAGAGAGATTTGTTAGTATATTTAAAGCTTAACTGCATAAATATTAATTTATCGTATTGAAAAATATTTTTCTAAATATTGAAACGTCATTACATAATTTGAATATTCCAACAACAATTTCGACTAGTATCATGTTAAATATATTTTTTATTTAAATAAATAAAATTATAGTATTGAGATTACTATTAATCCTTGTAGCGTAACATTATACTAATAATTTTATTATAAAGTAATATTTTTACGTCTTTCGCCCAAAGATAATCAAGATGGTTAAAGTTGTCATGAACAACGCGGAATTTTCCAATCGGATTTGGAAGCTTTGAATACAATGATTGCACATCCTGAAATGAAAAATAATTGAAAATTATTATTTCTACAGGAAACGGAACGTTTGGCAATAGAATCGTTTTATATTTAATGTATACTAACATTTGGGTGCGAAAGCCAATCATTAATACTATAATGTAAAGAAACCGGTGCTTTAACATTTTTTAAATTATACGTTGGTGGCCCAACTTTACCATATTTTTGAATATTTCCCCACAATCCGTGATCATATTGCACAAAATATCCTACGAAATAAATAAATATTTACATAAATAGATGTGATATAATTATTATTAATCCTCAAACGTAACATCTAATACATAAGTTAAATGAATAAATGTTTTTCGTGAATTACGTATTATTTTTTACATTGACTACAAACTATATTTCAATAAAAACTTATAACATTTGTTTATATAATCTAAATGATTGTTTGAGTAATTTTTAAGTTAATCAAAAAATTTGTTGTATTTAGAAAAGTAAATTTAATATTTTCATAACACAGCAAAGAATTTTTTTATTTGTCATATATATATATATATATATATATATATATATATATAGAACTGCTAGACAAACAAATAGAATTTGAAGATTCATAAGAGTATAATCATATGTATTGCAATAAACATTTTTTTTTTTTTTTTTTAATCAATAAATTTTCGCTTAATAATCGCTGTCCATGAATGATTTTTTATTTTAAATCATTAACCTCGTATTAATTATAAACATTAATGTCATAATATAACAATTATAAGATATTATAATATTAATGGTTTAATATTAATTACCTGATTTTATTATTTGCGCATAATGTATAAATTGTCGGACACTAGCTCCAGCCGGAACATTTGAAATAATTGCAGGTAGCAATGACTAATAGCAGTTGAAAGAAAAAAAGAAGAAGAACAAAATTAATAAGAATGGTTAATAAAATGTAGTATGCAAATAAAAAATTTGAAAAATTACCGTATCAAACTGATCCCAATTAAATCCAGTAATTAAGAATATTGCATTCATGCAAATTGGTTGAAGAGCTGAATTATCCTGGCAAAGCTCCGTAACGAATTTTGTGAAAAATGCATCACTTGGTTTAAATTCATACAGACCAATAAAATTTGCTACTAACTGCAATGTGATATACGAATATACGTGTGTGTGCGTGCGCGCGTGTGTTTATATATTAATAAATTTTTTCAGAATTCAAATTAAATATAATAAAGAGAGAAAGAGAGAGAGAGAGAGAGAGAGAGAGAGAGAGAAAAGAAAAAATAAATAAAAAAAAAAAAAAAAAGATTATTTTTCTTTCGGTACATTATTATCTGTACTTGAAATCCCATTGTGCAATATATAAAATACATAATGTAAAAATTTCATTAGAATATTCGTAAAATTTAACCTACATTAACAGGCTTTATAATCCGCGAAAGAAATTGGAAAACAGGACTAAACATTCTTGAGCAGAATGCTATCGGTGCAAGTGAAAACATAGCATGAATTTTATCATTATATTCCGGAAGGAGGCTCGCCATTACAAAAAATGCCGTACTTCCTTGACTATGGCCAATGTAGAACAGCTTTTTATGGCCAGTTTCAATTAAAATATAATCAATCATCGTCGGTAGGTCATACAAACCAATTTCGTGCCAACTGAAAAATCAAAATTAAAAACGAATTTTAGATTTAATGCATAAATTTTATATTAAATTACTAAGAAAAATTTACAATAGCTTATATTGCCTTATTTGGAATTTACGTTTTACAACAAAAGCTTTTACTGCAAAATTTAATAACAATATTTCATAAAAATATTTTGTAATTTTTTTAATGCTTATCAAATAATATTCAATTTTCAATCCGTACATCTTGTATAACCAATCAAACGGCTGGATTTTATAAATTTTTAGGAAATTTTCTTTTTATTCCGCATAAATTTGTATTACTTACTCGAAATTCCAATACTTTGCTTCTTCCACTGTATAATGATTATGTTTTCGAGAATATCTACTACCTCTAACATTTCCCAGCCATACGTCGTAGCCAATGTCGGAAAGAATGAAACCTGCGTGAAAGTTTTACATGCTACATTGAAGGCTTATAAACTTTCATATGAAATGAAATTAGCGTTGAAATAATTACCAAGACCCTTTTTGGGACCAGCGAGTACCCAATCCATGGAACTGCATAGTAATCCATGTTGTAGGAGTACCGCCTGTTTGACTTTAGGACTAGGCTTATCTATCCTACCAGTTATCCTGTTCAATTCAAGAATGTAACCATCTTCTGTTTGTACTGTATGCGTTTCCACACTATAGTTATACGACTTGATAATTTGTACCTAAAATGAATGTCGAAAGTCACAATTCCAATCGTATTTTCGTTAAATTTCTTGATTATTTTAAAGTCATTGCAATATATGATTTGTAATATTGGATAGTAATTTAGTAATTTTTATATAAAAATTTTATTCGTTCATTCAATTAAATATGTTATTATAATAAAAAGGCATTCAATTTGGAATGAATTACTATAATAAAAATGGCATTAATCATTAATCAGCATTGGATATAGATTATAATGATTTGAAGATTTTATAAATATCGATCGAATGTACAAAATTTTACTTAGACTTTCGTGGATGAAAAAATATTAAAAAAAAAAAAAAAACTTACGAGCCTCTCGAGAGTTACGATCACATACAGTCGATGCGTTAGATAAATGTGAATTATGCATTTTAATAGAAGAATTTTTAATAGTATGCAAATACACTCACGACATCGAAACGCGTATGAGAGTGATGATTGCTCCCTAGATTTTCTAATAATTCAGTAAAATTTAGATCGTTTGGTAATATGGTGTCTAGTGCGATCAATTCCGACGCTTTAAGAGCTCCTGGAGGTAAAATTTCATTGCTTATTTGAGCTGCTGCAAATGTAATTAAGCACTGTGTCACTATGACGAAGACTTTCTCCATGTCTTGACTAAATAATCGAAAAAAAAAAAAAGTAAAATATAACATTGCCGTAACTATTGTCGTGCGACTTTATATACTTTTTATTATATCTAACATCTTTGAACAATGTTGACAGAAATACTAATCACTGATGCTATGAGTTCTTATCAATTTAAATTCTCTTTGTAATCAATCAAATGCGGATTGATTTGATTTTGTTGATAAATATATAGAAGTATAATTCAACATTTCCCAATTCAATTTATTAAGAAATCATATAGGCATTACGGCAATGTTATCAGTTCCTTATAAATACATATGTATATTATCGTTTTTTATCGTCTTTCTCACATAACTTTTATAGGCAAAATCATGTGTTGCGATCTTCCGAGATATCGAAGTATGCTAAGGTGCATTAATAACTCATATTAATAAAAATTCTGTTATTTTACTCTTAATCTAAATTACCCCGGTAAGCAGATTAAGAACAGAAATAAACTGGTAAATCAGCAACGTATTTAAACGATATCCAAATTTAATTTCTTATCAACTATACGCACACACGCACGCACGCACGCACGCACGCACGCACGCACGCACGCACGCACTGGCGCACTGACGCACTGACGCACGCACGCACGCACGCATGCCTGCACGCATGCACGCATGCACGCGAGCACTAGCACACATCGTATCGAAATTATTTCTAAAGCTTATCTGTTTGTATTTCGTGGAAAACAAGCGATGTCTTATATTTCAGAGGAGTTTCTATATTTTATAAAAAGAAAATGAATGTTCAAAACGATAAAGACAAAGTTCAATTGATAAATACAAATAGATAATTGCAGACTTGACAACTGTTTTAATATTTTAAATTTATTACGTTGTGCGATTGCATTTATCATAATCGAGTCGAAAAATTATTTTTTAATACGCCATCATTATTTCGCGATAATGCATAAATTAATTATAATTCGCGTACAATCGATAGTTCATATATTCTTCGAATGATTAGCGAAATTAGCCAAAACTAATTTTACCATTTTCTTCTGAGCAATCAGATTAATTTATTATCTTCTAAACATTTGATCTATAAACATTTCAATAAATTGTTTGCAATTTTAAAGATAGAATTAAGTTTTTAAATTACGTTAGAGTTGCATAAAGCTTTTTTTTGCCACTAAAATTGTTCAGGTTACAAAAGCTCAAACTTTGCATGTAACAATCAATATGGATGTTCACAATTTTTAAGACTACGACTATTTGAGAAGTTGACGAAAGCTTAACTTATATTTTTTTAATTGACACTTCCATTGTTGTTACGCTTACGGAGCATACGATGCCGTAATTTCATTTGTTGGAAGGCGATTAGGCGGGCTAGCGGATGAAAAGGAGAAAGAAAGAGCGGATGAAAGGGCAGGGAAGGAATGGAGTACGAAGTACGGAATGAATAAAAACACCGTTTATACTACGTTAATTTTTACGAAATTAATTCTTCATTTGCTCGAGCTTTGGCGGAGGGGCGGGGAGGGGAGGGGAGGGGGGGGGGCGGGCGGAGGAGGAGGAGGAGGAGAGAACAGACTCGCCCTCTCCGCTCGTCGATTACAACGAAACAACAAAACTTCCAAAACAACGAGTTGATCTCTGATAGGAAATTAAATGGCTGCTCGTTCGTGATTCGCGTGGCCATTTAACAAATAATTCAATAAAGCCACATGACTAATCCTAATAGCAGCGAATTAAAAATTATTATTGCGCCGGGGATCCTTATCGCGCGGCCCGGGCAGGCGGGAAGGGAAATTGCAAGGATGGCAGGTTTGAGGGACGTGGAGAGCAGTGTCGCCTTACGGTAAGCTGCTCCTTCCCTCGGCACCATTAAATAACAAAGACGGAAGGATTGGCCGAGTTGCCAGGACTGGTTGAGGAGGTTTAGCCGCGCGCGTCGCCTTTGTACTTTGGCACTTCTGCGGTTTCCCGACTTCCCGTTGTCCAGGTCACGCGTCTACGTTAAGGATGTTCTAACCTCTCGGTTAGCATTGGCGTCGCGTTGAAATCGAGGACGAATGTACGCGCAGCCGCCGATGTCGCAGGAGTTCGTGCATTTATTGTTCCGTTTTGGTTATATTGACGTTACCAGAGCACATCAACAGCAAATCATGGATTACTTTTTAATAAATGACTGTGAAGATTGGTAGTATAGAGGTAGTATAGTATAAGATTAAATTGAATGGAATTAAGATTTAATGGAAGAATTTGAAAAAGTCTATTCCATCGTTTCCATAAAATCACAGATAAACATTCGGTACTTTTGACATTAGCATGTAAAGGAATATGTAAAGTGCGTATTTGTTTTATACAAGTAACGTGAATTTTAATTACGAATAGGAAATAAGCGACTCGAATGCATATTTGTAGCAAATTGTAAAATCTTCATTCGAAAGTACAATTTTCAAGATAGTAAAATACTTTTCCAAGCTCTATTTACTCGTGCTCTAACGGCCGATTATTATTCTGATATTATATGTAATATATTACTGTAAATTAATATTTGGATAAATTTTGAAACTTTTTAAGCCTTAGAATATAAATTAGAATAGAATTGAAATTTGCATTTCGAAAAATTTCTAAAGAACAGAAGTACAAATCGCTATTAGATGCAATGGATTTATACATTGAATCCATTGAAGACGACTATTAATACAATTTGATAAATATCATTTCACTGATCCGCTTTGATTTTGCTGGTGAAAAGAAAGTAAAAAATTTGAATAAATCAGTAGTAATAGAATAAATAATAAAGCTGTAATTTACGATTAATCGTTTGATAATATTAGAATCATAAACTTTTGCAAAGTACAATCGATCAGTCGTCCACACTGATTCATAGATTGTTATGAATTATTATTAATTTCGGTCTTTTTGAATATTGTTATCATTTATTACATGACAGAATATATAATACTCGATAGAAACGAACTTTGAAAAATGTCTTCGATTATAAAACAATATAATCAAATTAAAATAATTTATTATATTACGAAGAATTTAAAAATTTTCGGCGATAAAATATTATATAATTGATATTCTTAATGAAAAACAAAACGTAATGGCAATCTTAAAATCTTTTTCAATTATTTTGTCCTATTTGATAAGAATTAGAAACATGGTTTTTAAATAACTTGATCGATATATATTGTTGTAGGTATTCGACTGTCGATTTTTAATTCAAACTATGACAAATTAATTATGCAATTTGCAGAATTAGTTAACGTTAGTATATAAAATATTAAGTATTCAAGTATAATTTACTATATAATATAAAATAATAAATTTTACTTATATCAGTATATTGAACGGATCTTAAAAATAAAAAATATATAAACAAAAAATTATTAAGACAACACAAATGAATAAATTTATAAGTTAATTAAAATTTAAAAACATCAATGCTTCTTGTATATGAGTAAAACTGTGATAAAAGAAAGTAAATATATTTATGCTAATATTTGCTGTAGAATCGTAAAATTTCATAATAAATAAAGATCATTTTATCATTAATAAAAATGTTATTTAATATTGTATTATTCTGTTAACTATTGAAAATGATTAGTTTCTTATTTCAATTTCATAATTTCAAGGTACAATTTTCATATATTTCTATTAACTATTTTTATAAAAAGAAAGTTTCTTTAATTATAAATTACAATTGATGTATTTCATTTTTATTATACATAGTTCATTAGTAATTCTTTTATCGCAGAGGTCAGTAAAAAAAGAAAAAAAAGATAAAAAAGACCCAGAATAAAATTCTTAACAAATATTTGTTATTAATCAATACACGTGAATAACTTGATTTCAAACAGGAAATTATTTTCAATTGACAATGAAATGTGTCATTGAAACGAGAAACAAAAATAATAGTCGGAAGAACTCGTATTAAGAACAGAATAACTAATTAATGAGTAAATTAATTAATTAGATCATAAAATTATTCAAAAACATTAAGCTATTTTTATACAATTGTTAATAAAAATTTGCTAAAACCTTTATAACCAACGTATAACACTTATTTATGACATTTATGAAATAATTTACACAATATTTCCAAAAACTTCACCAATTTTATATAATGTGTATGAAATAATTTAGGATACATATGTAATAAATGAAAACAATGATATAATGTAAATTCGATATTGTAAAACAAAAATACATATATTTGTACCATAATTATTATAAAATAAAATAAAATAAAATATGATTAAAAAAAAAATTATATTCTCATCGTTGTAGATGAAAGTTGATTTTCATCAAATTGATATTCAGAAATCAGCTAATCATTATAAGTTTAAAAGAGTAGTATTTCAGATAAATTTATTAATTAAATAAAGGATTACCTAATAAGCATATTAATTCAAAATTACGAATAAATTTAAAAAATGACTATCGAATAAATATTTTATATCTTTAAGTAATAAATACCATACTAATTTAATTATATATAATTTATTATTGCATTATTGGTTAATATTATTTATAATGTTGCAATTTACGTTAATTTAAAAATTATATTAAATTACTTCTGATTTTTTTCTTTATTTGACAATTCAATAGTTTTGCTTTTCATTGTTCAGAATAGAAATCACATTACAACGTTCATATTGCTTTGAAACAATTTTCTTTTAAAAAAACTTCTTCTTTCAATTAAAATTAATCAAATATTGTTTTAATTGACTATTCGAATACGTGGTATAGTCATACATAATGCACCCCACTAGTTTTTCACAATCATTGTTCACGAAATTATAATTATATATAAACTTTAATATAAAAGTAACTCGATTCTTTGATAAATGGATACACATACAACGATGTAAAAATATTCGATTATTTTTACGTTGAAGATTTACTCCGATAAATCATTCAATATTATTTGGAAATTCTTAATACTTTACAATGCATTATTGTTTTTTCTATTCCATAAAAGTTTTTTTGATAACACTTGAACAATATTTAAAGACTTTTAAGCAATTGCGATCGTTCTTACAGCCATTTAATATCTGTCAAAATATCGTCTAATTAATAAAATGCATTATTCATGTGATATTAAAATTTATTTGCTTTTACACGAGCTAAAAGGAAAATCATCATGGCCGATCGACTAACATATGAATTTTTAATTACTGGAATTTTGCATTTATTTTGATGTTTTTTAATTTCGAATTAATATGTATTTTCATCGTTGTCCCATCATTTCATGTTTTTATTTGTTTTTAACTAGTAGATGGAAAAAATTATTTGAAAATATTGAATAAAAAAAAAAAAAAAATTACAAATAAATAAATTTCTCGAATTCAGCTCTCTACGAGCAAATTTTATTTGATCAAATGTAAGAATAGAAATTGCCTTTTATAATAATTTATTATCCATAGTCAGATAATAGTAATTGTATATTTTATATTTTATTACTCTCGAAATAGTAGAGATCTGAATTTTCCATTCAATACCATTAGACATTTACATTATTATTGTAAGAATACGTTTTATTGTGATTAATAGATGTGATCGAATATTTTATAAACAAGATATAGCTTTTACTTTGTCTACATAGTAAATATACGCTACTATTTGTTTTCATTATGAAAATATTTTCTTGATATGCTGATTATCTTTTAAGGTAAATATGTGATCATCAACGATAATATTCGTTTATTGTATTATTTCTAAATGATTATAAGCGCATGGAATATCGTCTTTTGAAAGTTAAAGTTTTTTTGCCTCGAATAAATACATTAAGAAAGTATTGATTGTTTATTGGATAATTAAATTATAAATTATTATAAATTATATAATTAATTATATATAAATATATATATATATATATATATATATATCATAAAGATATATTTCCATTATTATTACCACTGTCACTAATTAAAGAAATAAATATAAATTTAAAAAGTTTGTTGAAAAATATTTGTTTAAAAAGTTGCGGCCCTTTTACAAGCATAAAATTTAATTCAATTTTATTTTTGTCTTGTCTAACATTACACTAGTCTAACAACTAAATTACTTAGTAAAGTGGTAATTTTTAGATAGAATAACGGTTAAATTTTATTATGTTTATAATATCTTCTATAAAGAATATTGTTTAAGCTATGCTCGATATCAATTAAAACGTAGTAAAAACCTCATTGCGGTAAGATATAGCGTGTGAAATTTAAAATAAAATTATTATCACAACAGTCTTCATTGAGCTATAAAAATACAGAGGAATAATAATATTACATAAAACTGACCTGACTACCTACGCGTTTAAGTAACTACAGAATAAAACGAAGAAATTAGTTAATACGTTAAATAAACATGCTTGTTTTATTCAAATATAATGCATAGTCAACGTATGCAATATTCCAAATGGATCGGAATTTTTTTATAAATATATATATATATATATATATATATATATATGATTTATTAATTCGTTGGAATAACAACAAAATTTCGATAGATTCAATTATTGTATATTTTGATTGTTCATGTTATAGATGAACTTGTAAATACGTATTTAGTGTAATTAAATGATAAAATTTTATTTGTTACGCTTAATTGGGAGAATTTTCAATAGAAAATATTGCTGTAATTTACTGTTTAATTTACATGAATCAATAGATATATTCATATATATATATATATATATATATATATATATATATATATATATATATATGTGTGTATATATATTATGTGTATATATATTATGTATGTAAAGAAAAATTTATATAATGAAAAGGAAAAATTTTAAATTTTCTTATTAACTCGATTTATTAAAGGATTTGTAAACAATATAATAAATGTTAACACATTTTTATTGTTTTTAATTGTATCACTAGAAATATGATAGTGATATCAACTCTCGTATACTGACATCAATGTTAGAATCTTATCATATAATAGATGTTTCACATCTTTGGCAAAGAGGTAGTCTATATGATTAAATTTTTTATACTTCACGTAGAATTTTCCAATTTTATTTGGCAGCTTTGAGTATAGTTTGTTGACATCCTTTGTAAATTTAATTTATCAAATTAGATTAATAGAAATGATTTTATTATCGAATTTTATACTATCTTAATTAAACAGATACCGTACCTTAATATTTGCAAGCCAATCATTCGAGCTGTAATGAAGAGCAACCGGCACTCTTACATTTTTTAAATCGTATGATGGTGGAAATACTTTACCATACCGTTTTAAATTGCCAATAGATCCATAATCATATTTCCTAAAGGTTCCTACAAATTTATATTGTGTCTATATTAAAAATTGACATTACTGAATTTTCACAAAAACTTACACACAGAGGAATATAACTCATGCATATATAATACTTAGGTAAAATGTAAATTTAATTATGATAATGAATTATCTTACCTGTTTTAATAATTTGACCATAGTGAATAATTTGTTTAACGCTGGCTCCGGCAGGCACGTGTCGTAAAATTAACGGAAGCTTTGCCTATTAAATTTAAATCGTAGAAAGACATTACAAGATCGTCGTGTAAAGTTACGAAATGTAAAAATTACAATGTGGCATTGTACCTTATCTAATTGTTTTGAATCAAATCCTGCAATCATGAACAAAAGATTTTTGCACATTGGTTGTACAACTGCAGTCTCTTTACAAAGTAAAGATTTAAAATTTTGAAAAAACTTATTGGAAGGTTTAAGCTCATAAAAACCAATTAATCCTGCTATATACTATAATATTATTAAATGTGCTTTATTAATTACTCGTCAAATTAATATTAAAATATAGATAAAATACGATTGCTTATATAAGCAGAAAATTAAGTGGGTAAAAAATATTTGACAAACCTTCAGTTGGTTTACTTTTTGCGACAATGATTGCAATATTGGACTAAACATATTCGAAGAGTAGACAATTGGCGCAAGTGAAAACATAGCGTGAATTTTTTCATTGTAGGCAGGTAATTCACTAGTCATGACGAAAAAAACTGTAGTTCCTTGACTATGCCCTACGTAAGAAATTTTTTTCTGTCCAGTTGTGTGTAAAATATAATCGATCATGGCTGGAATATCATGGATACCAATTTCATGCCAGCTATATAAATTATAATTCAAGACGAAAAAACATCACAATTATTATTATTTCATATAAACTAATTTAATTAAGAAATATTATACATGTATTTTTATAGCAAAAAGAGGATTAAAACTTTATGATACTTTTGACAAAAAAAAAATGTCAAACTGTTTGCAAGTTGTAATTATTAATATAAAATATAGGATTGAAACAACGAATCTTTTTTTTTTTTTTTTTTTTTTTTTTTTAATTAAAAGTGTACCTAAAATTCCAAAAATCTGGATTATTAACAGATAGAAATCTATGTTTACGGGAATACACGTTGCCTCTGACGTTTCCAAGCCATACATCGTAACCGACATCAGCGAGAATTAATCCTAAATAGATGAAATAAAATATCAAATTTTATATAAAATTATTAAATATTGTGGGAATATTAAATGGCAAATCTTTCAAACGATGAAAAATGTATGAGAAACAATAATGGAAAATAATAATTAGTTTTCAAATACGTTTGCAATGTGGTAAGAGAATTATTTTAATTTGAATGTTCATTGTATGAGCTTGTAAACATGTATGTAGTAGGTGAGCTTACAAATTGTAATTAATATAAAATAACAAATTGTCATATTACCTAAAGCTCTTTCTGGACCGGTAATTACCCAATCGATGGAGCTGCTCAATAACCCATGTTGAAGAAGTACAGCAGGCTTACCTTTTGGGTTTGGATTTGTTTTGTTACCCGTTATTCTGTGTAATTGCAAAATGTAACCATCATTTGTTTCGATTGTGTGACTTTCAATTCTATATCCATAGTGACTTACAAACTCTACCTGAAAAATCAATTTCAATATAAGCATAAAAAAAAAATTGAATAAATTAAGTGTAGTATTTATATATATATATATATATATATATATATATATATATATATATATTCTCGTCTATCATAGTGGTACTCGAATAATGAATAAATTCTCCTATCATACAAATAGGAAATATTTTATATTAATTGTTCCTATAATTAGGCAATATTTAATTTATTAATTTATATAATAAATTTCAATTTCACTTGATTTAAAAATCTGTAGATAAATTGATGTAAAAAGAAAGTCTGAAGAAATCACAATGAAATTCATTCGTCGTTAAATCTTATAATAAATATAAGAAATTTTAATTATAATAAATCTAATAATATATTATATCGTTAAAAATTAATAAATCCAAGAATTCAATTATATTAAAATAATATTTTTATTATAATTTTTTATTGATATTTTATAATGTGTTTATTAGTTTGCAATTATTTGAAAATTTACAAATCTACTTTATTTGAGAATTTACGAAAAAACCAGTATTTATTTACATTCGTTAGTAATCTATTTTCACACAAAATTAAAACTGTAATGTCTCATTCTAACATTATATTTTCATTATTATATTATTCTAAAGCATTAACTACATATTCTTTCATAATATATATCTGTTTCATATTCATAAAATAAATGTAAACTATAATTTGTAAATTATAAATAATGTAAACTTACTATACTATCGTCAATATACAGATTATTGCCATGAACGTCTAATAATTGTTTTATAATTGTATGATTTGGTAGGTTGAATGAGGAAATATTTAGATTATTAAAATCTTGTAAATTGTCAGTTGCGAGTGTTAAAGTTACTACGAATGCGCCGAGGCAAAATGTCATTAACAATGTAACTTTTGCCATATTTCCACTAAAGTAGCTCATTATTCTTTAATCGCATCGCAGAACTTTATATACACGTCGTTATATCTAAAATTAAAAAATTAATCCATGCTTTATAATATAATTCTACCTTGAATTAAATTTATCTAATCCAATGGTATTAAATCCAAAGTACACTAAAGCTGTGAATATATTATTAAAATCTTTTTAAAGTTACAGTTGTTATAATTATTTAAAATCTGAAACAATAATAAATATAACCTCAATTGCCTTTACATAAATATTTTATTAATTATTTAAAAAAAAAAAAAAACAAGAACAAGAAATATTATTATACACATTGGTATTGTAAAATATTTGAAAAAAATTTATAAAACTCAAATTATATAATATATTTAATAAAATACAAATCAAATAATATGAATATATATATATATATATATATATACTGTATTACATATAACGGTAGTATTGCATATTTGCATTGTATTTATTTCAATATGTTTCAATTAAACATGCAACTTTAATTGTGCGCCATATGTATATAAATATATTATTAAATTTTTGAAGTTTACAAATGACAAAAATTAATAAATATCTAATTATTTTTAAATTCAATGAAATCTCTTATTTATTGTTCTAAATAATTGTTTGTTGGAAAGTATTTTATCAGTAATATTCACATATCAATTACATATTTTTCATTACTTATATTCTATTTAATAATAATATATATATATATATATATATATATATATATATATATATATATACATATATACATATAGATTTGATTACAATTTTTTAATAAAAATATGTAGAAATTAATACGATAAGAATAAGAGAATATATAAAGTTGATACTAAGATTATTATTATTCGAGCGAAAAACTTATATTTATTACAAAACACTAGTAATTTTTTTATTCTTATTAAAACAAAATGTCGCTTTCGGAACACTCGTATATGAATAATTTTTTTCCCGTTAACACATTAATATAATGGAAGAATAATTTATTGCTAATTGTAGCTTTTTTTTTTTTTTTATACATAACTTTAGTTATCTTATATATTGGTAAAAATTTTAAAAATACTTGAAATCCATGACTAAAATAGAAATAACTATAATTTCTAATGATAAATCATTTTTGTGATCAAAATGATAGAGGAGTGCGTGTATGTATGATTAAATATTCCCACGTTAATCTTGTCAAATTATTTACGTATTTTTTACATAATATGAATGTATATTGATTTATTTTAAACATTATATATTCAAAATTTTACATCAAGTATTATGTTAATTTCATTCAAATGCTTCTTCTAATAATTAATAGACTTTCAGTTATTTTGAAAAGTGCATTCGAATAGTAAATGCGTAACTATTGATTCTTAAAATTAATTGTAATTAAAGTAGATAAGACAGATTTGATGAAGAAATTCGTATGTAACGTTGATGCTAATAAAGATACTCGTACTTTGCACACTATGCAAATTACTTAATTAATTTATTATCTTATAATGGAAGTTTGTCATCATGTATCATATAAATATAATTGTATTCAAACTTAATCTGATTTATTTTTAACAGAAAATTTGGTATGATATATTAATTTTGCAAATATCACGAATATATCTGTATTATATATTTAAACAGTCATAATTCAAATAATAGAGGGGTTCATGGGGTATAATTATTCTGTTGAAAAGATCAACTTATTATTGAATATTTAATTGGGTAACAATATAATAAAATACAGTATAACTACGAATTTCTATATCGCACAAATATTAATAATAATACAAAAAATTCAATTAGTTTGACTAACGAGGCAAATAATTTATTTCAAATATTATATCTGCCATTTCACTAAGCTCATATAATTCTGGTAGTAATTATGAAAGAAGTTTAGTATATTGAATATAACTGTCAAGCATTGATAAAAAGCTCTAAGTCGATAAGCGTAAATTAATGTGATTACTTTATTTAAATTTTCAATTTATGCGTAGTTTATTTTATGATAGCGTACTTGATATAAAAACGATAATAAAAGATTTTATTTCTATATTCACGCACGCGCGCACACGCACGCACACGCACGCACAGAGAGAGAGAGAGAGAGAGAGAGAGAGAGACGTGCATTAATACTTAAACTTACAGTTAAAAATAAATAATAATGTTTTTAACAAATCAAATTTATCATAATTTTTAATTAATAATGACTAGAATAATTCATTTTTTCTAAATACAATAATGTTGTTGAACACATGTTGGTATATAATAATTTACTTAATAAATATTAATGTATATATCGATATTGTTCTATAAGTTGTATCAAAGGTTCCAAAACTAGCTGCGGCGCTGTTCGTCCCCATAGAAAATCATAATGATTGAATAAATTGGCAGAAATCCGTTGATGGTAAACAACGCTGTTTAGCCTATTAGTTAATAATTCAACATCCTGGAAGAATGGACAATCGAGAATTTAATTTTCATCTACGCAGCTTATATTTAAAGAAATTGCGAAAGCAATATTACGTACTTTAGGTGTAGCTAACCAATCATTATTACTACTAAAAAATGCAACTGGTGTAGTTATAGCCCCTAAGTTATATGGTGGTGGTATTGACGATCCATATAGTAGAATATTTTTCTTGCTATTACCATAATTAAATGGTCGAAAAGTATCTATAAATTGTAATTTAAAATATTCGTTTAATGAGAAAGTTATTAGATAGTCCATACGATCCATCTCTTTTTCACTTTTTTATATACAAAAGATCCAATACTTAAATAGCTGATATTATAAGTGAATAATATTAACTAATAAATATTTCAATGAAAGCAATACTGTCGATGTAAAATTTAATTTACCAGGGTTAATGTATCCTTGGCCATAATGAATTAGTTGCTTCCAAGAGGCACCAGCTGGTATATGCCCAAGTATGACTGGAAATTTATCCTGAAATGTATATTAAAATATTAAAGATTCATTTTAATATTAGCATATTGCAGTTATTCTGTTACAGATCAACTCTATATAACTAATTGGGAAATTATATTTTTTATACTAATCGAAAATGTAGCGTGAAAATGGATTTATAAATTATTCTATTATTAAATCATTATTATATTAATATAGACGATATATTAGCTTTCTTCATTCTAATGCTTTTGCATTACATGAAATATGTAGATTTCACTTTGACTTTATAATTTATTGTCGTTAATTAAGTATTATTAAAAATCATTAATAAACATGTGCGTTTATCGTTTAATTTCGTTTATATGAATGTACGAGAATTTATAGAAGAAGTATGTTTAATTAAGTATGTTTTATTTGAAAATTCTTATAAACTTCCGTATAAATATCAATAATCAATCATTTTGCAATAGGCATTAATTTTTTTAATTTGTATGCAAGCTCGAGCGCGCGCGCGTGTGTGTGTATGCAGCGTAACTCACAAGATCAATTTCATGGCTAAATCCAACTAGCAAGTAGAACTTGGTACTGCAGAAAATTTGCGTTGGTGCGGCACTTTGGCAGAATAGTCTGGAAATGAATTTACCCCACCGAGAGCGGGACTCGAGTTCTGGATAACCAAAATTCTCCCCTACCCACTGTAAGAGATTTTAATAATTACAGCTACTTTTTAACTTACTGTAAGTTGTTTGTAAAATTATTTATTTAAAATGTTTAATACCTTTGGAAAAATATATTTCAATTTGTAAAGAAAATGCAATGTTAATTTCAAGAAGCGCACTAGTGCATCCCCAACGAAACTGTCAGTGTAAATCTGCATTTTTATGCAATCGAGGACTAATCAAAATTATTTTTGTATAATGAAAATTTTTGCTCAGGCACGCAGTGTTAATATCAGATGTACAGAATTCATTAGTAGAAAAAAGAGTCTGAATATATGATAATAATATGTAGAAAATTCAAATAAAATGAGTTTTTAAATCTTGGCAATTTTATAACATTTTCCCACGACGTATTTACTTGTCTGTCAAGATTCCATAAATTCTATGTTTCAAGAGATGACCTCTTATTTTTTACTACTGAAATTGAATTGATAAAACATCGGTAAATATATACACAGTTCATATTAGAAATAGAATTAAATATATTAGAAAAATTGAGATTTAAAAAACAAATATATATATATATATATATATATATATATATATATATATATTATAGACTTTGTCAGACAAATCACTCTAAATTTGCATATTATAAATTAAATGTCGTTTATTGATATTATTTAGTGAATTATTACCTATTGAATAGTATAAAATTGACAATATCTTGATTTTCATGGATAATAATTCAGATTCGAAATAGATGCCAATTTTTATAGAGTTTAGATTTGAGTTGGCTTTTTTAAAATAATCATGAGTATGTTGAAATTGAAGTATATTTATGCAAAATGATTAGTAACGTGTCACGTGTATTTTGATTGATGTTACATGACATTAACTATCCAATTAGAAATTTTAATCCATGAAGCGAGGAAAAAAGTTGCAATAATAAATACCTTCTATACAGTCGAATAGCTCAAGATCATTTCCATAAAGGGCTCATCAATCTTTTATCTCGTTTGAAAGTAAGTAGGGCAAGTATAGCGGAGAAAGTACAACGTTAAATACTTAAAATATAAATGATACTTTCAGAATGAACACCATTGATCTTCATTGATGATACTGACAAATATTTAAAAATATCTTTATATTTCAGAAAAAGGAACGACGCCTTATTTCAAATAGATCCTATGTCATAAGAGAGATAGATGGAGACAGATAGAGATAGATAGATAGAGCTAGATAGATAGATAGAGCTAGATAGATAGATAGAGCTAGATAGATAGATAGAGCTAGATAGATAGATAGAGCTAGATAGATAGATAGAGCTAGATAGATAGATAGATAGATAGAGAGTGAGTGAGTGAGAGAGAGAGAGAGAGAGAGAGAGTGAGAGTTAAAAAATTTTCTCTCGACAAAATAAGGACGAATCAACAATTAATTATAATTCAAGCATAGAGCACTAAAGATACGTAATTCCTACTCTTCTATATTCAATAATTTTATATTAACCAATTAATTCAAATTATAAAAAGTACGTGTAATATGATTGTCCTTATATCGAGGTGCGAGATTCAGCTGAAGGGAACGAGATATTCCCTACCTCGTGCAGAATTAACAATTAACAATGTTCTTGCAAATGTAAGCCAAATAGAGGATAAAGAAGAGGCGCTGATTAGATAATACAGGCGTCGACAAATTCGCCCATTGCCGACATAATTTGACGATTTACCAAAAATCCATGTCAATGCGTCCATTGTTCCACGTGCGTCTGCAATTGATAAACCATACTCGATTGTCCGGATCGAGATATAAACAATGATTAATCGCATAAAGGCCGGGGCGACAGTCGTGCGCAGCGTTCGCCCCGCCAATAAATAAGCGCCCCTTGTGAATTAATTGCTGAGCCGACGACCGAGAGGGATGAGAAGAAGGTGATGAGCGTTAGAGCGATGAGTGAGCGGGGATCGAATAAGCGATAGAAGTAATAAGGAATGAGAATGAGACGCACCACGCCAAAGTATGTCAGCTTGGTGAGTTGCGTAATAGGACCGCGCAGATAGCCGGTAAAGGCCGCAGGTGCGAGGCCGGTCGCGAGCGCAATCTTGCCGTTGTACTGAGGCTTCTGCGAGGCCATCACGAGGAACTGGGTCGTGCCCTGCGAGTGGCCCACGTAGAAGAGCGAGCGTCGACCCGTCCTAGCTAAGATGTAGTCGATACTCGACGGCAAGTCGTGAATGCCCAGCTCGTGGTAGCTGTAACAGGCCGATTGGCGCAAGAGTTGAGGCTTCTTCTCGACATTACGGCCAAAGCGCAGGGCAAATGTCGTCGCCCCCGTCGTCGTTTGCGTTGAGTGGCAGGAGTGACAAGGGGAGGAAGAGGAAACGGTTTTTCAGAGCTCTGGTACAGTTTGTGCCGCGCTTTCATTTGGCTCGGTAATGCCCGAATGCGCGGTAGTCGCGTGTCAATTGGAAGATTTATTGTGGCGGGAGGGGAGGGGCAATGATTTGCCGTTAGGCAAAATAAGGCGCGTTTGGTCGCGCATCGGCCGCACTTGTTAATCGAGCGAATGATGAGCTTAAGGGGAATGCGCGCACTTTGTTTTTCAATTGTAGGCACTAATATTCATTGACTTCAATTGGGATTAATGATTGAGCGACTGATAGGTTGGCTGGATTAGCGTCCGTGCGTATGTTTTTTTTTTTTATCCCACGATTCGATAAGCTGGTGCTTACTCAAATTGTTTATTAGAATATTATTTTGATTAGTCCGAAAAACTGTTTACATGTTTACATTCGACTTAGATAAAAAAATCGAATATATCCGATAGTGTGAATGTTTTTTATATGGCTGTTCGAATTAAAATGTCATTGTTGTCGAATGCACATAAATATGTGATAAATTTGTGAAGTTAATGAAATTAATGTTAATCGATAGATAATGAATTCTATCTGTATTACTAAGTACACTAGCTTCACTAGATCAAATAATCTGAGATTAAATCATTATTTTATATGTAGATATCGTGATACACGAATAATTAATATTTTAAAACGAGTTTTAACATTTTCACTCTACAAATACGGATTTTCAATCTCAATCGCAAGTATAGTTTTGCCATTAAAATTCTTAAAAAATAAATTGAAATTCCCTTTTTAATTCTGTTAATATAGATTTGTTGTTTATAAGTTTACCCATCAACTGTAAATTTAATTATTATTATTTAAACGATATATATAAGTGTGTGTGTGTGTGTGTGTGTGTGTGTGCGTGTGTGTGCCATTATACAAGTGTGTATATTGCGATCAAAGATAAAAAAATATAAGCAAATATATATTATGTACTTATGAAGGTTTGAAACATTGAATATATAAGTCAGAGTAATCGTCCTCGTGAATCTTCTACTATTTTTACACATATTTTTCAAAAAAAAATAAAAACAATGCTTAGTTAATATCTACTGATTTTCAATATCTCAAATATTTTACATCGCTCACTACACACGAGCAATGATATATGGCTGTTAAAATCAATCAAAACATGGAATCGAATCATTAGACTGCAAATAGAATAATAGTATCAAACGCGCAATAATGATTAAAATGAATTGTTATTGGTAGATTTAATAATAAGTTGAATGCCTCGTTCTATTATTTTTTAATGATAGTTCGCATATTTTAGATATCTATCAATTTTTAAATGTATACTTGTATATTTAATCTAATTTCATATTATTGATCGATTCTTTAATTATTGGCACAATCATTTTTATACTATAAAATCTATTTATAATATTCTGAAAACTTGCAAAAAATAATTAATTTTAATTAATTACTCGCATTAACGTTACTAATACCAGTTGTTTTTAACTCCACTAAAATTATTTCGTTCGTTCGTAAATAAAGAGAAAAAAGCCACGTAATTTAGAACACAGGCACAACGACGACATTCTTAATTCTACCAATACTATTTCATAACTCATATTCGTAGGAATATTTTAAATAATGATAAAGGTCGGTTTGCCTAAAATCCCAAAAGTAGCGATGGGTAGGATCCATAGTGGTGTGGTTTCTGGAATAGATGTTGCCTCGATTATTCCCAAGCCAGACATCATATCCCATATCTGCAAGAGCATAGGCTGGAATATAAATAATAGAAGAATAATTTAAACTAAAAAATAGAATTTACGGTATTAAATATATATATATATATATATTGAATTACGAAGAAAATGCTTATTTTATCAAAATTAATATATGAATTACTTACAATTTCAGTTTATTTTGCGTTTATAATTCAAGAACTTTAATAACAAATACATATTTTTACAAATATGAAATAACCTCTTGATATTTTCGATAAAATATTAAAAATGTAAATAAAAGTATGGGTGATTAGAAGTAATTCTAAAAATATTTGTTATTTAATTTTGCTATTTTTATATGAATAGAGACCTTTTAATATATGCCATAATAAAATAAGAACAAATTTTAGTTATCGACAAGTTAAGAATTTACTGTAATTATCGAATTAATTATACAATATGAATTATACAAACTATCTAAAGAAGAAAACATGCGATGATAATTTTCGGTGATAAGTATTTTAAGATCATATAAATATCAACATGACAGATCAATGTATTAGATCGTTTGACAGAACATGATTTACTTTATCCAAAAGACTTGTAAATAAATCAATCATTGTTATAATGATAAGAATATTTGCTCGTAAGTCAGTACATTTATATCCAATTGTTGCTCATTACTTCGAGTGCACATGTATATAAAAATAACGTTAATTACCACATATACCGACTATCCTTTATTTTAATGTTATGATAATCATTAAAAATATAAAAAAAATTAATTATACATCATGTGATTTTTGTTACTTATGTTGTAGGTCGAATAAATGAAAAATAAATAACTCAAAGGATTTATTAGCCTTCCATGCTCAATCATTTGTTGCACAATTAAAAGAAAAATCTTTATAGCGAAAAGATTTAAGTATCGCTATAAATTTCATTTAAAATGATCTACGCGAACGTTGCATTTAAGTAGTACAAATACCATCATCATAAATAATTATTTACTTTTGATATTAATGTATATTAAAATTGTAAAAAAAAAAGCCAAATTACATTTTGATTTATTGAAGTGTGTGTGTGTGTGTGTGTGTGTGCGCGCGCGCGCGTGCGTGCGGGTGAGTGGGTCGTATGTAAAACAAACAATGACAAACGAAGAAATATGTGTATATTACACCTGAAAATATCTTTCATGCAAATAATGCAAACAATTTATTTAAAGAATTACAATTAATAAGAAAGATATCAAAAGACTTATAAATGAAAATACATTAAGCTTTGACGGTTTTAAATCTGGATTAAATTGTTTTTTCCGCCTTGACTCATTATTATTATTAAAAAAAAAAAAAAAAAAAACGCTATTGGTAAACGTTAATTGCAATAATAAATTTTAATTTAAAAACATTTAAGAATATCTAAATAGTTATATTAAATTCCAAATGAAACGAAATTAAATGAAATTTAATTACGGCAATATTCCTTTTCTATTTCAGTCAAACCAAATTAAATTTATTAATAAAATTAATAAATTTCTATATTTTCTAAAATGATATTTTCTAAAACAACCAATGAAAAATAAAATACAACTATTCAACTAAATTCTATTATTATAATTTTTATAATCTATTTAGTTATATCTTATGTCAAATAACAATTGAACTAAATGATTTATAATTTATCTTACAAATAACATTGTTAAAAATAATATATGAAATTAGCATTAATTAACATGTCATGCAAACAATTGTTAAAAACATATTTTATATATTTTAAATTTTTTAATAAATTTGCATATAATGTTACTACACTCTTTAAAAAATTTAAAAATTGCATTAAACACTTTTTTTTTATTTAAATAAACAACATCGTTGAGGGTAGCCTACAAAATTTACTAATTCATATGCATACAATAAATGATCATGGTTTTACGAATTTCGAAGAATTCAATAAGCAAAAAAATCTTACTGAAATTTGGTCTATATGAGAATCTTTTTAAACCAGTTTATTGTAAAAAAAAATAAAAATAAATAATAAACGATCATTCAGTAGTAAATGTTTAGATTCTATGTGGAGCTATTAAGTGAGACGACTCACATAACTTGTAAAATGTTGAAAAATTTCATTATCTTTCCAATTTTCTTAATTTAATCGGCTAATGCATTCAATATCCATTAATTATTACATTGATGCTTAAAACACAAATAGCTAAGCACTCTACAAAAACAATAACAGATCTTAATAAATCTCTCGGCGCCCTATGAACAAAAAATCATAATAAATTAACAGATTTGAAGTAAAAATTACCGTGACTTCAACGATTAACTAAGTCCGTGTATTTCATCAATAAAAGTCGTAAGGATTGCATGCACTGGACCAAGCAAGTTTTTGCAAATAGGAAAGCTATAAACTACAATGTTGTGTAAATATGAACGACGGAGTTAGAAATTTTGTATGAGGCTGTACAGGTTGCCAGGAAATTTTTACGTAAGAATAAGTGTTGTGGTACGTTGTAACTGTTATTTTGAATATAAATTCAGTCAAATTTTATACGAATGAACTTGTACATAAATGCAATGAAAAAGGATTTTTAAATGAATTCCTTCAATTTTAAATAGATAATCGTTTTTATACATTTTTTTATTCTAAATCCCATTAAAAATATAGGCTAATTTGTGTTTGACTTTTCTCGAATTATAAATTACACGCTCATTCTTGTATTTATTATCACTCGACTGTCTTACAAATATTCTTGTTTTTATTAGTTATATACTTGAAAATGTTGAAATGTTGACATATGTGTAATGTTTCGTGTCAACAGTACAAACAAAAAATATAGGATAAATGTTACTGATTATACTCTGTTTCAATAAACTTTATAGAAACTGAATAAAATAATATTGAATAAATCATCAAATAATATAATATTGAAAACACTTGGATATTCATTCGAATAATTAAATAGACAAAAGCAGTATATCATCACATAATATCAGAAATTTCTTAAAATCTTTAATTCTTTTATTTTATACCAAGAATTTATTTTATACAAATTTTTAATTAATTTAATATAATGTCTTTGATAGATACATCAATTAATACTTGTAATTCATGTTAGTATTATTTATGTTACTAGCTATACTGGCTATTGTAAACTTAATTAATCTTGAATAGGGATTATTACATTGTGCATTAGTAGTTTTGCAATCGTTATATTCCTCGCAATTTTCTTGAAAGTATCGTGCTGACATTTTATAACTTATATTAACATAAATTTGATTAAAATTCAATGGTCAATTTTATAAGGTTTATGCGTAAAGACATTGGATTGACTTGTTTATATATTCAAAAAATTATTAGTCAACTTTGTATAACATTTGCTTTAAATTTATGCGACATACGAGATTTAAATATACAGTGTATATAGTAAGTATATCGAATGAATTAAACTAAATTAATTAAATTAGTTCATTCAGAATGGATATATATGAATTTTACAAAAAATTGCCAATAATATGTATAATAATAATAATAATAATAATAACAATAATAATAATCATAATATGTATAATTAATATAACCGATTAGAAAATTACAAATTCCAAATGATCGGAGAATTACATATAATAACGTAATAACAAGAAACGTTAAGCAAATGTCAAAACTTAAGTTGTAGATTATAATATTAAAAAGCCTCGATGCAACTCGTCATTAGTTTCTAGCTTTAATTAATATATCCAAGCTTATTTCGATAATATTCAATTAATTAACAAATTTCAGTTGTTACACCAAATTTTCGTAATATACCAATTCTAATATGTATTCAAATAAAAAATAATATCAAATATTTGAATGCATGTTTCATTGATTAATATATATATATATATATATATATATGTATATATATATATATATATGTATATAATACAATGATAATAGTTTAACAATTAATAAGTTGTTGTAATGAAATTTCGTTATTTGAAATGTTATTTCTATTTACCTAAAGAATTTCCTGGTCCCATTAGGATCCAGTCAGCTGAACTGCCGCCAAGGCCATGCATGAGTAAAACCGGTGGCCGCTTCGAGCAATAATTTTCATGATTTCCACGACTATACGGGATTCTGTGAAGACATAAAATGTATCCATCATCGGTGATGGTGGTGTGCTTCTCGAAAGGATAGCCATACTTCTTTATCAGTTCATCCTTGACGATAAAGTAAAATACTATTATTACATCATTTATATAATAGGATGTATATTACACAAGCACTCATATAATTAAAACATGATGATAATTATCGTAATGATATTCAATATATTTAATAAAATTTAATTAAATTAGTAGCTTTGCCAATAATGAAATTAACTTGTGTTTCCAAACTTATGTGTTTTAATATATATTTAATATGGATTTCATATTATGCTTAAACATACATTAGCATTATCGTCATCGATATCGTTATTATTGTTGTTATTATTATTGTCGTCGTAGGGATCATCATCATCACTGCTATCGTTATTATTACTATTATTATTATCATTGTCATTCCCATTATTATTATTAATTTAAATTATTGTTAATATAAATTTTTATTGTTATTATTATTAGTATCGAATATAGTTTACTGATAAACTTTATTAAAATTTGGCGCTTATATAATAAATGAACTGTTTAATTAATTTTACGAATTTTTCACAATAAAAAAATAATTGCAGTTAATATTTGTAATGATATTATGCAAATATATATATATATATATATATATATATATAAAATTAGGATAAAATAAATTTTTGTTATAAATTATTTATTTATAATCATGCTTTTAACTGATTGATACAATTATTAATAAATTAAATATTTATTTTTAAACTAATTAATGACTAATTTATTCTGTTAATTTAGACGCAATAGTAACTTGTTGCTTTGATACATTTAAATTCTGTTTTCATGGTATTTATTCGATTAATTAAATTTTTACGTTAAATTAGATAGATAATTTTAATTATACAATGTGAGAAATGAAATCTTCATAATGTGTACTGAAATTTTGGGAATAAATAAATAATCGACGGCTTCTAAATCGTTTAGCTTATTTCAATAATTTAACATAAATTATACGTGGATCATGAAATAGCAACTAAATAATAAATTACAATTTGACCATTAAATTTCTTTTGTACGTAAGCAACGTTCGTTTGAATTTTAATAACAATCTTAATAATATTGTCGATTACACTCAAGGCCAACTAAAATGCTGCTTATTTTGTCTTTGCCCCATGACTTTTACGCGCAAGTAATGTGAATGACATTTCCGTCGTGTATTATCGGAATGGGAGCCGTAGTCAGAGAGAGAGAGAGAGAGAGAGAGAGAGAGAGAAAGATGAAATAAAAGAGACAGGAAGGAGGAGAAAAGGTAGACGCTCGCGACGAAGCCCTGGTCACGTTGAAATCGTGGGCTCACGGGAGCCGAGGGCACTTACGGTCTTGAGCTCGATGTCGGGATTGGGGTCCAGCTTGGCCCGGACGCCCGCAACTCCTGAGACGGCTAACATCGTAGCCAGCAATTGGCAGGATCGTAGAGCGAGGAGCCGCACCACGGACGACATATTATCCCGCGCGAGAGGCCAACTATCCTCCTCGAGCACGACTCGCTCCTTCTTCGGCGCGTTGCGTCCTTAATGCACTCCGCGGCTATCGTGTGCGTGTGCTCGTGGCACGCGCGCGAATTCGCGAGACGCAGGGCAATAAAGCGCACCATGTCGTTGCGCCGACTCTTATACGCACATTAGAACGCGCATGGCGCTCCTTATTTCTCTTGGCTATAGGCAAGCGCGGCACCTTGCTCACTTTCTTTTTTTACCTGTGCCTCCTCCGGCGCCGACTCCTGTCCTCTTATCGCGTCCCATTGTCGACTGCCGCCACTGCTGCCGCCGCCGCCTCCACCTCTTCCTCCTCATCCTCGTCCTCTCCCTCCTCCACCACCTTCTTATTGTTTCATTTTGATGGTGCTTTCTTTGAGTCTAGTGATTAGTGATGGGATGCGCGGGCGAAACATAGAGATGTTCGCTCGATTTGCTTGGGTAATAGCTGGCCGACTGTCTTAGTCAATCATTGATCGTAATTATTCTAGGCATTGAGTATTTCGACGATTAATGAATGTCAATGGAGCGGAGCGCTAAGGCCATGACAATTGTCGTTGGTGTTCGAGGTACGTCGGCGGCTTTTGTTAGCTTCTTCAATATAACGAGTCGATCGGATTGGATTGAGTTTGAAATAAGGTGACACGACGCATGATTTCAGGGCTGGGGGGGGGGGGGGGCACGAAGGGCTTTTTGGGGGTACTAGAAGTGCTTTTTCAAAATACTCTTTCAAGTCAAGGGGCTAATAGTAATGATTTCTACGACAAAATCATTAAAGATTGGATAAGCCTGTATTGGTCATGAATATCAGCAGCACTTAATCTCACGATGCAAATCATAAAATAAGAATATTCAAAATCATTGATTTAAATACCCATAGCTTATCAAGTGACTTTTAAGAAACAAATGAATTTTTGCAAATGGAACGGAAAATTATCACCTTCCGTTCTTTATATTTGCCTTTTTAGACAATCCGTCAATATAAAAATTTGGTTAACGTCGATTTAGCGTATCGTTATAATTCTTCGTCGATTTCTTAGTTTATAGTCGCAGCATTTTTCATCCTCCAGGTAATTGACAACTTGAGTCAGTGACATATAATAATATGATATGTCTATTTGCTTTATTTAATTAATATCGTAATCTATCTGATATTACGTTCGGGCTTAGTGAGATATTCAGTTAACTTGAATATTAATAAACATAATGTAATAAATTAGTATACTATTGGAAAAGTAAAAAAAAGTATGTAAAAACACAACGTCTGTAATAGCGTCGAAGTAATGCCAAACACAATATTTTAATATTAATACAATTAGTATAAGAGTTTAACATAAAAAAAAAACATACATAGAAAAAAAAAGTGGTTAAAGTAATTTTTCAAATATCACCAGTAATCTGATGATGTTTCTTTTTAACTTCAACATATTTTATAATAATTATTTTTTCTTTTATCTAGCTACAGAACGAACTCGTCACTTGTTAATGTCAAAATACCAAAGCTACTTACAATTTCATTTAATATACATACATTTAGTATGCAGTTCAAATGTAATCGAATAAATCGAATAAAATGAATAAGTTATTTTTTATATTAATACAAAAGAGAATATTGAAATATGTTTAACCTCGGATATATTTCGATTGATAACTATTCGATAATTAAATATTGTCAATTCCTTTATAATATTATATTATCTCTTTTATAATTATTTCTATCCCAACTATTGCTATAACTGAAATTTCATGATAAAATGTATCATTAGATTATATTCGATGATATTTGAAATCTGTACGGTATGTTGAGCATCTCATAATCGTATCGAAAACTTTCAATAATTCTATTTTTATATAATTTGTACATTACGTTGAAAGAAAAAAAATTTTCAATAATATCTTCATGGTATTATCGTGCTTTTATGCTTTCAAGTTGAAGTCATTAAGAGGTATTATTATTTTACCTCCATAGAGAATGGCAATTGCAATAAGAAGTACAAATAAATAATTAAAAATTAACTTGTCCAATTATTTTTTACTAATTATCTCCTACCGCTCATAACATTTTATTTATCCTTAATTCTGTATTTACACTATGAGACGACAATCAGTGCAATTTTCTATAAATAAACATTAAATTTATTAAAATTTATAATCTTATGTATTATAATAATAAGGATTACAAAATTAAACAAAATATTTGTAAATCCATTTAATTTACATAATGCTTAATGCTATTTAGATAAGAGAAAAGCCCTTGACTTTAAAGTAATCAAACATTTACACTTGAGAACCTTAAACTCATGACGTCGACTTATTTATTAATAACTAGACTAAATCGCTCTAGGCTATACATATTTTTAAAATAATTTTTTTTATAATAATATATTGTATTATTCTATATGATATTCAGATAATAATGTACAATGAAAAATGGATAATTTACACTTGGCATTCGCATGAATCACGCTGTCAACTTAACTTATATATATATTAAAAATAAAAGTAAAATATCATTTTAATTGTAATAATAAGAGGTGAATTTATTTATTTATAGTATGTAAATGAGATACGCTTTATACGTATAATTTATTATAAATTTCAAGCATAATGAAATTAAAATTAATGTATGCTTATTGTAATATCTTAAGTAATTAATCCACAATTTAATATTGAAAGTGTAATACATAAAGCTATTTATTGCTTAAATCTATTAGCACGAAAGTATTAAATTTAAACAAATTATTTCTAGAAATTACTTAAAAGGTTATTATTGAAAATTAAGGTATCTATAAGTATAATACGAGAATACTATTGCAAAATATAGTGCTTAGTGAGATTACAGTTTCTAATAAAACCTATAATATTACAGAAAATTGTAGTAGACATTGCATAGCGGTAGAACAATCAATTATTTTGTATGCATAAATAATAATTTTTTTTGAAGCGCTATATTAATTTTTATTGGCACATTTATCTTCTTTAAATGCTTATGAAATTTATTATGCTTATGTATACCTATATATACCAATCTAAATGTTTACTAGCATCTACAATACACGTGAATAGATAGTTAAATAAATAAATAAATAGATAAATATATTATAAAAATATATTGAATATTGATTATTCAAATGTATTATTCAAATATTTAAGATAGTAATGTAAATTGGAGATTGTTTACAAAATTTGATTATAAATATCCATTTGTACTAACGTTATATTTATACAAATATTATTATAAATGGGATATCGGTATCCATATGCCTATATATATACATATATATATATATATCTGTAGATGGATACAAAATGTAGATGTGTATGAGTTTCTTACAATAATGAAATTAACATTAACATGCATATAAACGGACATTCATAATTCAATTTTATAAAATACCCTCGATATATATTACTAACTTAAATATTTGAACAATAGATTTTCTCGACATTCAATGAATTTACGATATACAAATAATTATAATAATATACAGAATATGTTAATTTTACAAAATATTTTACGCATAATAGAATGTGCATATAAAAATTAATATTAAACATAATATTAAAACAATATTTAAAGTTCTCAGACTTTCTGCTTTGTTGGATAAATTTATGGGAAGCTCGTAAACTCTTTTTTCTAATTATGTCTTGAGAAATATATAAGTAAGTGACACGAGTAGTCCAATATAATATTTGAGCTGAATATAATGTTGAAATACAATATGTGACAATTATGTTTTAATTATAAAAAAAAAAAAAAAAAAAAAAAAAAAAAAAAAAAAAAATGATTTCTATAGAACTTTGCCGGTGATAAAAACTCAACATAATCACGTAGTCGGAGGAAATTACTTTATTTGAAAATTTTCCAATTACGTAGACCATCGTTCTATTTGGCGAAATATTAAAAAGTTATGTTACTCTAAAAGTAAAAAGGAATAGATGAAATATCCATTCCACTATGTAATGAAAGACTTAAATGAAAAATCATTTATGATCCGTCAATTTGAAAAATTTAAATTGCCAGCTTACCATTTACCAACCAATTGGTAAATATCTATTAAATTTATACTACCAAATGTCCCCTCGTAAGTTTAACATAGCAAAATACCTACGTATATGTAATTACATCGATTGTAGATTAAAACGACTCATACCATCTGTATCAGATTGAATATATTTTCGACACAATAGGATATGCAATGGCGGTAAACTTTCAATAAGCAGTTGCTCGTAACAAGGTCGTTGCCTCGAGTTTCCTCCTTATTGGTTAACTTCGAAAGTGTACAAGATCGATTGCCTAATATACAACAATGATGCACGATAATAAGCATTGAAATGATTTAATTGCTAATGGTGATGAATACCTGCCACTTACGAATAATTACACTTACTCCGCGCCAAATTGTTTTCCTCTTCAATTTCATGTTTATATTGTCGAATGGCACTGAGTAGTTTCAGTGAAACTAGGATATTTTTTTAGACTTCAATTTATTTTCACAATCCACTGTTAAGGCGCGCAATGAAACACTTAATTAACAAATTAGAATGCTGTTATTCTTTTGATTAAAAATTAAAAATGGTTTTTTTTATGTGGTTTACGTGTTAAATTGTAAAAAGAGAAATAAATATCTTGATTAACAAATATATTAATAGCCACATAGAATATAAACTATACAAGTTTTATCGTTAGAAAAAGACATAATAAACATCTTATTGAAGCTAAAAGATAATTAAAAAGAATTAATATTATTCCTACATAAATTTTTTAACAAAAAAAAAAAAAAAAAAAAAAAATTGCACAATTTAGAATTTTCAATGTTAAAATTTATAAACATCCTATTAAATTTTTTATATTATTTATTAAAATAATCATTCATAATATATATATATATATATATATATATATATATATATATATATATATATATATATACAATGTGTAAAAAATTTTATTAATGTAGCTTCCACTAATTATATAGAATTATATTTCTGCTTTGTACATATTGCTCTTGATAACACATGCATAAACTTAATTAAACAAATACAATGTTAACTAATAATTGAAATTTAATTTAAAAACAGTATGAAATCAAAATATAATTGAAATATAAATTAATGTCAATAATTACAAATGACAATTAACTATTTCCATTACTTTTTCACATTTATAATATACGTCATTAAAAATATGTTTACATTCTCAATTGAATTTTCTTGTTAATTTCCTTCATAATTATCGTCCTTCAAATACATATTTAATTTATATCTTATTATAGTCAAACTTTATAATTAATGAATTCATTTCATTTTATTTATTTATTTAATTTTATCCATTTTATTTAAAATAAAATTAGTTAATTCATTCTAATATTTCATATTACAATATTTTTCATTTAAATTTATTTATTGACATATGTATTTCATTTTTTTTAATCGCAATGCAAGAATTATGTACTAACGTGTTTTATCCCGCATCATATGGACTTAAAAACTATTTTAGAATAAATATTTATAAATATTAACGTTCACTTCAGGCAAATAAATCAGTTAAGCTTGAATTAAAAAATTAAGAAAATTTTGATTAATAACGTCGTTGTGCATAAATTTCTTACAAAATTTCATGCATTTTAATTAAAAATTAGGATTTATATAAAATGATTGTTCCGTACATTGGAAAATTTTCTTTATTGTATTTGTGATACAAAATACATTATCATATTACTAACAATAAATAAATTAAACATGCTGGTTGCATATAAATGGTACGTTGATTATATTTAATTGTGGGTTATCGTTACGAAGTATTATAAGTTTCATAATATCATTTGCAGAAATAAAAAATGTTTATAAATAATTACTTCACCGATAAATAATAATTAATTTTCTTTTTAAGAAAATATATTAATTTAAACAATCTTATATATTTCATGAAGGAGTTATCTTATTTTATTGAATTTCTAGTTTTTTTTTTCAAGTAAATTTAAAATTATTCAAATGAATTCGTTTCAATTTTTAAGTAATGCAAGAAAAATTAGTTTATCACTTTCTCACGGTACTATACATTTGATAACATTTAATTCTTATTTTTGTACAAGCATATAAAATTTACCCGGATAATAAGTTATTAGGTGATTTTATAAAATATATACAATAAATAGAAGCCACTCTTAATTAAAATAATTTTGTTCAATAAGTTTTAATAATAATTTCCATACATATTTAAAAAATAATTAATTTATCTACAAGGAATGACTGTTACATAAAGTTATGAAATTTGAGAAGCAATATATTGTATTTATTATTAAAAATACAAAGTAACAAAATTTAATTATATCAAACATTTATATTGGAAATAATGAGATAGAATGAGGAAAAATGAATATTAATGTCTGACTATCGCTACATATATATATATATATATATATATATATATATATAATAATAACGTCAAATTGTGTTGTAAAGAAAATATATAAAACAATCAATGAGAATATCGCAATGACTACATTAAAATTATATGTACCGAGTATAAGTAATTTCCGATAGTATAAACATAGCTATAATAATAAATCAAATATTTCGGTTTATCTTCATATTTTATAAATTTGATTTAATTTAAAAAGTAGATGATAATCAATTATTCTGAGTACATTACGCATATATATATATAAATATTTACAATAAAAATACTTGCACAACTATAAGTATTATTTATATTTATAAATAAATAGTACGTATTAGATAAATACCACACTTCAATGTTAAAAATCTAAAATACATTTATGATTTACAAATTCACAACTTCGATGTGTCAATTCACCTTTAATTGTATATATATATATATATATATATATATATATATATTATAGTATTATTAATAGCTTGTTAAGATTAATATTATCTTACGGATATTAATGTTAATTAATTATCAATACTTTTATTCAATAATGTTCAAAATTACATTAAATATATGGGTGGCATATTTTTCTAATTATTCAAATTTTTTTTTTTTTTTTTTGGAACTTTTTTGATTCATTAAAAATAGATGAAACACAAATAAAATTAAATTGTTCAAATTTGAAATAAATTCATTCTAAGCTATTTTAAATATTTGAAATTTTTATTGGAATTTATGACATATTATTATAATCCATCGATTATAGTACTTTTAAATACTACTTGTAGAAAAATATAGATTATATTTTATTGCTTATAATATAGATAAATAATGCAATCAAAGGATAAGAAATGTTTCTAAAATATATACTTTATCTCGTATGAATAAAAAAAAAGGAAAAAGATGAATAACAGTGCCTTAACATTCATGGAATGTCAAGTAATTAAATAAAAAAAATATTATCTAAATGTTCATTTCACATGATAATGATGACATTTTATATCATTTTATTTAAGCAGATAAATGATTTATTTAAATTTCAAAAATTGCTTATTAAATATTGAAAATTTTTATTAATAAGTAGTTCAACATATTATTGTTAGAAAATAAATGATGATTTACACAAGGTATTAATAATAACAAATTGACATACTTTGTACAATAATAAATGTAAGGATAATAACATGTAACAGCTGGAAACATCGTGTATGAACTTTACGTTACTTACTCTATTACGACTAATGCGCCAATAGTTCGTTGTTTATATATATATATATATTATAATATGTACCAAGTGAACGCACTACCAAGTAAGTAAAATTTATCTTTGCGTATATGCAAATGACTAGTGCGATTTTTATAAATCGCAAGGCAAAATTGTAACTATTCTAAATGTATGGCGTGACTTAGCTTGAGAATTTATTAGAATATTTTCTTTATATATTTAATGGAAAATTCGGTTGGAATAGAATAAAATTGAACTGATTTATGCCTGTTGGAATAAATTTTTTTTCATTTCATAAAGATGTAGCGACATTTATTATATAAAATACTGTAGAATAACTAGGTCAAAAATAAATTTTCGATTCTATTTTACCTATTTACATTTATAATATAATATATTCCAATCACTAATTCATTGTTAAATATGTTTAATTATTTATGTAGAATAAGATAAAGGAACTCGTATCAAATTTATTAACACGATTTTAAAGTTCTTAATGACATAATTTCATAGATATAAATTTGAAACGGTTGATACTATATTTTTAAATATAATTATATAAATGATATTTTTTGTTACATTGAAGAATATACTTTCATATATATATATATATATATATATATAGCTATTTTAATTAATAAGTAATTCGAACAATTCATTTACAAACATACGATCTTAAAAATATATACAGAGGACAATATATTCATATTAATTTTTCTAACAATTTTTAATACAGAAAAATGTTTTATTAATATTATTTTTGTTTTCAACATTAATTATGAAGTATATATTTATTCCCAATGTTTGTTGAGAAATTCAATAAAATTATTTAACTTTATATTCATTTAATAATTAGTAAGTGATTGATATTGTCAATAAATCATATTTTTACAAAGCTGGAATTTCCTTTTTGCTATTTTTTATATTTCCAAAACCTTTACAATTGTAGATTTACTCTCTATTTCTGTGATGTACAAAAAAAAAAAAAAAAAAAAAAAAAAAAAAAAAAAAAAAAAAAAAAAATGAAAAGAAAATGAAAATTAGTTTTTAATTCATTTACACTACATGTTTGTATTGAATAATTTTTAAAATAAAAAACTAAAAATAAATTCACGTCTAAAGTATAATTGAATAAGTTATTATTTGTAGAAAAAATAATTTTCCTTTATAAATAATTAAAAATTTCTAATTCGTTAAAACTCAAATATAAATTCTATTTGATAAATTATTTTATTTAAGAAATATAATTAACTTAATGATATTATTTCACTTATCTATAAAAGAAATTCCTTAATTTTGTCTATATATGTGTGTGTGTGTGTGCGCGCGCGCGCGCGCGTGTGTGTATACACATGTGCGTAGGCGCATTTTTTTTAATGTGCATGTGTGCATGCACGTTCATATATATACAAATATATGAATTTAAGTTCTATATTTATATATATTTATAAGTATGGTAATATTAAAAAAATTTCTATTAAACACTGTATTTCAAAGATTTCAATAGTATATTCATTATCTGAGATTCTCATTTAAAATAAAATATATCTTATCTTGACTGGTATGATGGAAACTGTTCAAAATAAATTGTCATGGAATGATCGATAAATTGAAAAAACTTTTATATTAATTGTCGAGTGATATTTAAATTATTGTTTGAAAATAGAAAGTTTACCACTTCGCATATAAACATAAATGTTTTCATCAATCTTTTGTTTGAAAAGTAATTTGAAAAATTATTTCTTAACTTTACAGTCAGTAAATCACGTATAGTAATGCAACTAATACTTATAATTAGACTATGTATTTGGTTTACTATAATTTAAACTTAAACATTTCGCAATCCTTCGTGATTTCTTTAATTATAAATTAGGATGATTAATATTCACAAATTGTTAAAAGTAAGAATAGTTTTTAAAATTGTAAATTAATGCGCACTATGCAATTTGGTAAAAAAAAAAAAAAAAAAAAAAAACAATGTACAGTTATGCCTTAAGTAAGGTAAAATGTTCATGGCAATCAATTAGTGTGCAGACACAATACTTTTTAGTATTATAATCGCCATAATCAAATAAATACCCACAGTAGGATATTAACTATAACAGAATCATTTTTTAAAAAAGCATTGAACCATTTTACACTGTGACGGTGGATGGCGCTAGTTTTGCATGCTCAATCGCCTGCTCGAGCGTCTGTTCGCTTGGATCGTCATCATTACGGAATTGATCGAGCATGCGAATCGAATCCTCATAGAGGACGCTTTTCGCAAAATTTGAAAATATAAAGTCAAGGTGACTAAAGCGCTCGTGCTGAATCTCTCGAATTTCGGCGTTTGGTAATTTCGCCATCAGGGCTTCCACGTCCTGTGAACGAATTATGAACTTTTAAAAAACAATGTTGATTCTTGTTAAATAGGCATATATAATATATTCAAATTAATGTTAATGTTATTTTGGACTTGAAATTTACTTTCGATCGAGCGTTAAGCGAATAAATTGAAAAATTAAGAACGTTACGGTTAAAGACAATGTAGATAATTGTCGAAAATTTATAACTAATTCCCTTGAAAAAAATCCTTGTCAGATTTTCATATATTAAATGTTAAATTTTGAAAGCAAATGTATTTATCGTACAATTCGTGAAATGTCAATTACCAGTTTTACAAAAGCTTTTAACTTATTTTACTAAAGATTATTATGATTTCATTAACAAATAATAATTAACTTGTTACAAATACAATTGTATTTTATACTTGTTTATAATATTTATAATAATTTCTTTGAAATTATCAGCTCATTATTGAGAAAATCAAACAACAACAATAACAAAAAATAAATAAAAAGATAAAGAAAAGTCAAACTAAATGTATATTGAAAGTTTCTTACGGAGATAATAAAACGAATCAAACTAGCTTATATCGTACGATGAAAATATTTTCAACTTTTGAAATTATTTCATTTAAATATTGGTTAATGGTATCCACACATCATTAGAATTTTTTTTTTTTTTTTTTTTTTTTTTTTTTTTTTTTTTACCAAATTGCAAATAAAAATTCTATCTACTAAAATACAAATTCTTTAGTTTAGCTTATGTCTTTTTCCCAATTTAGGTTGGAGTTCATATTCATATATTCATCTAATCGTTATTATTTATTAATCGAATATTATAAGTAGTACTTTCGATTCATCATATTAAAAATAACAAATATTCTTAATATATTCAATTTTCGATTTCTCAAAATATCTTGAATATTGAATCATACGATAATATAAATTTACATTTATTCTAAAAAAAGTGTGAATGAACTAAATTGAGAAAAAATAACCGGTTTGTTTTACCTCTTTTGTCGTGTATGCATCATTCATTCCATAATATAAAACAGTCGGAACCGTTATCCTTTCTAAAGGATATTCAGGAGGTGTCACATTCTTGTAATAAATGTAATTTACATCTGGTCCAAAGTCATACTGTCGAAACTTTCCTAAAAGTAATTTCATTTTTATTTTCTTTCTTATATGTATTTTCATCATTTCATTCAAATCGCGAAAAATTAAAAAAAAAACAACAAACACATTATCAGATCCTCTTGAGAAAAAAATCAGGTTTTTTTTATTTATAAACTTATAATTTATAAACTATTCACTAATGTTAATTTATATATTTAATTTATATAGTAATGTTATATTGTTATATTTATATGTTTTGTATTTTTTTTTTTAACAAAACCAGGAGAATATTCTGTTAAATATATTGATTCATATTATTCATAATAACTGTATATTTATAAGGGATTTATAAAAATCTAAAATTGCTTATGTCGACTCGTCTTTTCCTTAAATTACACACTTTTGAGTCATTACGTTAGAATTTAAAAGAAACAGTACAATTATTTAATATTGTCTTATTAAATCGAATCTAAATGAAATTTATGATATAAAAATCATGTAGTCGATTTAATTATAAATACATTTAAAAATATAATATCATTTATAATAACGTAATCTAAGAAGAAGAACAATTTTCTTAATATAGTAAATTTTTCTTAAATAAATATCATCATAAAATTCTCAATTATTATTTATAACGGCAAGTATAACGAAACACATAAATTTTTGTTATAATAATAGTGTTGAACATTACAACTAATATAATAATTAACACGTGCATTATATATAATTAACTGATTTGAAATTGTAAATGTTTTTTTTTTTTTTTTTTTTTTTTTTTTTTTTTATGGACACTTATCCTAATGTATATAGAGAAGTAAGACGAAGACGACATAAAAATACACGTCGTTAAAAATAGGCATAATAAATAAATATTAATAATTACCACTAATCATAATTTGCCTATAATGAAGAATCGTATCAACCGATGAACCTTGAGGATAATGGTGCATCATTTTATAGAACATAGCCTATTAAATGAATATGTAAAGGTGAATATTGACTATAATGTATTAATTGCTAAATACATAATTGTTTTAATTTATATAAATCACTTACTTCATCGAATGCATCAAATCGACTAGATCGTAATAATCCAGCCATGTTAAACATTAGTTTTTGACATAACAATTCAATATGCGGTGCTTGACAGAATGTCGTGTATATGCCAATTAAATTGGAATTGCGAGGCATTATTTCATTAACTCCTAATGTTTTTAATGTTTTCTGAAATTTTACACTTACTTAGAATTTATTTTTTATAATTACTTAAGACGGAATAATAATATGTTGGAAATATAGATTTTTGTGTATATTTATATTGTTGATTAATTAATTTTATTACCATTAATATTTATGTTCAAAAATAAAATATTTTTATACATTGTTTTAATTGAGCTATTATTGATATTTTTTTAACAACCACTGATCGTTTTCTAATAAAGTTTAACTACGAAATAATATAAATAATTAGCGATATACTTACCAATAAACTTAATAGCTACAAATTACAATTAATATTTGCTATTACGTAAATCAAATATATGCAAAATTTCAAACCCTTGCTTAAAACATTCGTTAAAAAGATATATCGTACACATAAATAACAAAATATTTATTAATTTTTACGTTTACAGTTAAATATTTAATTCTTTTTAAAACTCACATATGAAATAGGTTAGTAAAAAAATTAATTCATTAAAATTGCAATTTTATAGGATATTTTTTGTACATAATCTTTATTACGTATAAAATTTTTACGTATAAATATTGAAGAAAAAAAAGAAGAAAAAAAAGAAGAAAAAAAGAAAAAGAAAAAAAGTGTAAAAATATCATATACTAATATGTTATAAAACTAAGCTAAAGAATTTTATGAGCTTAAGAAAATATTAATCAGAAGAAAATTGTTAAATTTTATTACAGATGGTTAACAATGTAAATATACGAAGTAAAAATAGTAAAAAAGTTTTTTTGATATGTAATTTCTAAAATAACTGTAAAAGTATGTTAAGCATATATTTTTAATATGTATTTAATAAAAAAGATAGGAAATAGTTTCAATAAAATTTGTATAAATCCATCTTATGAAGTAGAATTACGATGATGACATTTCATTTACGTTAAGTATCTATGTTTATTTAAAAATAATCTGATAGTACTATAAATTTTTTATAAAGATGCACATGAATAACTATCAAGTTAATGGTCACTTTCCTCTTGTGCGTGTCATAGTAATTTCTTAGCCCAAAGCCAATAAAATCAATCTAATATTCAACTAGCGTAGTTTGAGAGATTTTAATTAAGAAAATAACAAACGTGCAATCCAATATTTTAATATAATTTTTGAGAAATATAAACCGCGTTTAACGACATTTCGATGCAATTATTTGCAATTTAATTTTCAAATTAACATCAATCCATCGTTCCTAATATTCCTTATATATTCAGATACAATATACGAGTTTACTAATTATTACATGTAAATTAAAAGAAATCTGTTTATAAAAATTTTGCAATTTTTTTTTTTTTTTATCCAAATGTTAAAGTATCGATGGAAGAGCTTAAATAGTAAGTAACTCACCTGTAGTTGTTTACCATAGCGTACAGCAATTGTACTAAGTGGTCCCGGTAAGACATGCGTGAAAATTGAAATTGGCGCAAAGAAAAGCATCCCATTAATTTTTTCGTTATACTCTGGCTTCATTGAGAGCAATACAAGACTGATCGTAGATCCCATAGAGTGTCCGATTATTGATAATTTCTTCTGCCCGGCGACATTTAGAATATAATCAATAGACGATGCAGTGTCAAACAATCCCGATTCGTGCCAGCTTCATACACAAAAATCGTGATTTTCAATATTAATGAATAATATTTGTTAATAATTGGAAATTCATCGCCGATCAAATCATTTCAAACGACTCGCTCTATCGTATAATTATAGTAATTAGTAGCATACTATATGATTCATAATATAATTGAGAATAAATCTATGGATATTTTATTGGACGCTCCTCTAAAATGGCATAAATTACAAAAGATTCAAATATTTGAAAACTAAAGTATTATAAAGAAAACAATTGAAAGTAAATTATTTAGATAACTTGAAGGATATTTCTGTTGAAAAATCACATAACATGTATGATATAAATAATATACATATAATTATTGTTTATTTAATTCATTATTAATTTGTGAATTTATATTTATTTAGCAAACCAATTGACGCAAATTAAAATGATAGAAAAGTTTCAAATGTTGTTAATGTGTACTGGTGGAACAAATCAATATGATATATGTTATGTCAGCATAGATTCATCCGTCAGTGATGAAAATGAATCTGCTCAATCGACGCAACATATATATTATTTTAAATTTCATTGTACTGGTTTATATTATTTTCATTATTTACAAAAAAGTGATTAAATATTATCAGCAAGATATTATTCGAATGCATATTACGTGAAGTAAATTCTTTAAACAATACGAGCCCCTTCAGATAAATCAAATCTATGAATAATCTTAATTTTCATTATTTATTCGATTTTAAATAGTATTTCTTCTATTTCATAGTATTTTCTATTGCTAGAACGTTATTTAACTACGGTATAATTAATTTTCTTCCGATACTATTGTAATATTTAATGAATTCGTTATCTACTTGAGTCTGTGTAGAAAGGAATTTCTATGCCAATTTCCACTTGACTATAATATTATTTATTTGTAAATTTTGAAAATATAATTATAAATAATATTGAAAGCCAATGTGTTCGAATAAATATTCTAATAAAAACAAAAGTAATTATACAAGTCAATAATTATATTATATATATATATATATATATATATATATATATAAATTATAGAGAAACAATGTTTATAAATATTTATGAAAATAAATAAATTTTTGCTCTTTAAATGTTTTGCGATAATTGTTAAACATTTTGCCTTTTATATTATTCATGACAATAAAATTACGCAGCTGTAACAATAAGTTCTTATACTCATTTAGTAAATAATATACTAACGATCTCATTATAAATAATTTAAATATTTGTTGATTATTAAATAATAATTCACAAATATAATTTACTTTTACGTACATCTATATGATAATATATGAACTATAATATTGAATACGAAAACGTTTTCATAATTTGCCATTTATAACTTATTTAATTATTATAATAATAATGAGAAAAGTGCTCTAGGTGTTCATAAATTTTGCTGTTAAATTACCTGAAACGCCAAAATTTCTCCTCTTTCGGTTTTAGATTTTTATGTCGTCGTGCATAGAAATTTCCCCTCATATTCATTAACCAGACATCATAACCAGCATCCACCAATAAATAAGCTAAATAATAATTAAAATACAATAAGTACATTATTCTCGGCTATATAATTGTGAAATTTCAACGAAAAATTTACTTTAATTTGGATTTACGTAAAATTATTTGCAATCTCGTTTTCTCAAATCATGCTTAAATCAGTAATTCATGTTCATTTATGTCAAATATATATATATATATATATATAATTCAGCTATTAATGAATAATGTTAATTGTCAATAACAATCGACCGGAAGAATGTAAATAAATGCATAATTTTATGCGCTGCATGGCAGAGCAGTGAAATACGTTGCCCAATTAAGAAAAAGTCAACGTAGGACAAATGAAAATCTACCTAAATCTTCATCCGGTCCACGAAGCACCCAAATGTCCGAAGCAGCTAAGAGGCCGTGTATGAAGAGAACTACAGGCTTTTTGGGACCTACGGGGGATTTGGGACTACCAGGCATGCGATGAAGCTTCAAAATGTAACCATCTTCGGTCGATATGTCGTGTTCCTCGGCTTGGTAGCCCGTAGCTCTCACTAGATCAACCTAGAATAACTTTTTATATTTTTATATGATACGTAAACATATCGTTAATTAAGAAAATTATGTAAGACCATGCTGACGTCTAAAAATAATCAACTTAATGGTCAGAAATTTATGTACATTTTAACGGTGTAAAATTATTAATTGAGTGCACATTGTAATTCGTTAATGTTCCTTGAAAGTCACATGTAAAACAGAAACTTATCGATTAAGATAAAAATGCTTTACAATGAATTTTAACAATTTTAATCAACGTTAAATCAATTCGTTTAAAACATAAAAAAGATGATAATATCACAGGTACATAGTATATTATAAACAATGAATGTTAAGCTATAAAAAATAATAAATATAAAATTAATTAAATTAGGTTATTCAAAGGATATAATGATGTTATAGAATTGAGGATAATGGCTGAAGCAAACGATTTCCCATACCGTTAACGAAGATATAATTGATATATCTATGTATCAATTATATCATTAAATTGTTTTGTAAATCAATATTCGAACGTTTTAGTTTGTAAAGACTCGAGTCTTAAGATTTAACTGCTGATTTGTCGTATTAAGAATTATTTCTATTATCTTTGTCATACGATCATACGTCTATAAAAAAATACGTTTATAAAAGAAAATATTTAAAAATATTGAATATATAACTATGTAAATAAACATAAATTTTTTTAAAATTATTATTATTATTATTAACAATTCAATATTATGTAAATCCGAAAAGGTAAATCATGAAATCATAATTATTTAAAATCTTTTAGAAATAAAACTTCGTATATACTTCTTATATTACACATTAATTATAATTCGGTATTATAGAAAATTTACTTTTATATATTTAAGTATTATTATGTATTATTCGAAAATTTCTTAAAGCTCAATCGTCATGTTTTATCGTTATAAATACAAAGTTACAACTGTATTATTAAATTTTGTATTCAAATTTTCTATTGGAAAATATTTACATCACTTTACAAACGAACAAACATTGGTATGGTAATTATTTATTTTATTTTATGTAAAATTTTTTATTGAAATTACGGCAAATTCGCAGAAATCAACTAATTCCAAGTATTAAATATATCAAAATTATTGTACATATCTTATATAACGAATTTTCTTTCTTCTTCGGTTACCTCATAATACACGTAAATATTAATAAACACAAAATTATTACTTTTAGACCGGAAAATATAAAAAGACCAAATTAAATAAACCATAAAATTGTGTATGAAGAATTCAAGGTTAGTGGTATGGTACAATTTCATATAAATATCATATAATCTGATATTAGTATACACAATATTTAGTTTAGAAAGTTTTTTATTCAAATGATTTTATGATTTTTGAATAGATCTAAGTATTTTATGTAAAGTAAATCTAAGATATTTTAAGATGAAGCGGATTTTAATATACGTCCGTGAGATATATAATTTTATGCAAAAATTTTAATGTACACGCGTTATTTATAGATATGGATAAGGATAGAAAAATGTTTGAATAAAATCTGGGACGAATAAAATTATAATTTTCCGATGAATAATAAACTGGATTTTACTTTAAATTATTTGAAATTTTAACTTTGATGAATTATTTTTGAAATTTTATATTGAAAAATTTACTTCAATAGTACGCATAGTTTAATAATGCAATTATTAACTCATCTAAGTAGAAAAGTTTCTAAAATTTCATATTATTAAAAGCTTCGATATATTTATAATAGCGGCAAATGAAAATTCTTTTAAACAGTCTTAAAGGAAAGCAGTGCGTCAAAATAGAGAAAAATGCAATCGTCACGACAGACACGACGATCGTTCAATGGAAATAAAAGAAAAATTTTACCAACCTTGAATTATGTAATTCAATGGATCAACCTGTCAATATTTAACGATTTTAGTTTTTAAACATTCTTATATCACAATTTATTTTTCATCTCCCTGACGAAAGTTTCAAAAAGCTCCTCCCATCAATAACTGGAAAAGTTAATACACATGCAGAAATAGCGCGAGCAGGAAATTGCAAAATCATAATGCTACACTACATACTACATAATGTACATCAAGTTTATACATTAGCTACTTTCAATTTCATAATACATGAACCGAATTTGATTGCTCCACGTGTAAGGTCTTATCGAAGGCGATGCTTTGATTTCGATATTACGTCGATCATTAAAGCTACTAATAATTATTCAATTAATGAACAATTTATCTCGTGGTGCATTTTGCAAGATACGGTGAAACGAACGGCTTTTAAGATGAAAAGAAATGAAAAATAATGAGAATCAGATTGAAAATCCAATTGGTTTTGCGACATCTCGAAAACAGCACATAAGCTAAAATTCCTCTCTACGGTCGATTACATTTTTCTCATTGATGAGTGAAAAGCAAATTTTTACAGTTAAATCAAAGGCTTTAAACGACTGCTTTGACTAATGCGCGCGTATTTTAATCTGAAAGCCTTTTCGATTTCATTCGTCATTAAATCAGGAAACCAGGACGCGCTTGATAAGATGAAAATATTTGATATTTTCTCTCATAGTTTTCGTTGTCGAAAAAATGCTTCCGTTCACTTTCGCTAAGAAATTAAAGTGGAAAGTTAAAGTCCTACTTTTTAGCTTAATACATAAAGATTTAGCTTTTCTAAAGTATGAATAGTGAGAGAATCAAGCATTTGTTAGGCAAAAATTAAATACAACTTATGACTTGTTTGCACAAATTTGCCCATTGCACACTCCAACTAATAATTAGTAATCGATAAGTGTAAGGTAATAAATTTTGTTAAATTTCTAACAATCTCACCGAGAAATCCAGAATCCTCGACGTTTCATTATAGTAAAACAAAAAACAAACAAACAAACAATAGAAAAAAATATCATTACTAATTATCGGAATACTAATTATGCATTTTTGTTGTTTTTCCTTGTTTTTCTCTTCATTTTGTTTTTTTAACTATTAAGATACGAGTAAAAAAGAGTAAGAAAATAAAGAGAATGATGCTCGTATACTGATAACTCCAATGCTTAAGAGATATATGTCATTAATAATTATTAACCAATTGAAAGATTGTTTTAAATTTCCCCTTCTTTGCTCCTCATTTTTTCAATTTTCAAACTTTGTATATATATATATATATATATATATATATATATTACTATTCACTTTTAGAATTTTTCTCCCAGCAGTACTCGAGTCTTTACTGTTTAATATTTATTTTTTACGCAATTAAAGTTTTGAACGCAATTAAAATAATTATATCGGATAATAAAGATTTAAATGAAAAATTCACACGTTATTATCCCACTGCACGTCTCGTTTATTTAATAGCGACATTACCGAGTACTATCATTACACTAATGTTTTATGATATGACCCGACAATTATTTAATGATTTTATGATTATTGTTATTGTTGTCGTGTCGTTGTGTCGTTGCTATTATTATTGTTGTTGTTGTTGTTGTTGTTATTGTTTACGCTGCCGCAGCTAATGCTACTGCTGCTGCTGTTGCTCCTGCTGCTGCTACTGCTGCTGCTACTGTTGCTGCTACTGCTGCTGCTACTGCTGCTGCTACTGCTGCTGCTACTGCTGCTGCTACTGCTGCTGCTACTGCTGCTGCTACTGCTGCTGCTACTGCTGCTGCTACTGCTGCTGCTACTGCTGCTGCTACTGCTGCTGCTACTGCTGCTGCTACTGCTGCTGCTACTGCTGCTGCTACTGCTGCTGCTACTGCTGCTGCTACTGCTGCTGCTACTGCTGCTGCTACTGCTGCTGCTACTGCTGCTGCTACTGCTGCTGCTACTGCTGCTGCTACTGCTGCTGCTACTGCTGCTGCTACTGCTGCTGCTACTGCTGCTGCTACTGCTGCTGCTACTGCTGCTGCTACTGCTGCTGCTACTGCTGCTGCTACTGCTGCTGCTACTGCTGCTGCTACTGCTGCTGCTACTGCTGCTGCTACTGCTGCTGCTACTGCTGCTGCTACTGCTGCTGCTACTGCTGCTGCTACTGCTGCTGCTACTGCTGCTGCTACTGCTGCTGCTACTGCTGCTGCTACTGCTGCTGCTACTGCTGCTGCTACTGCTGCTGCTACTGCTGCTGCTACTGCTGCTGCTACTGCTGCTGCTACTGCTGCTGCTACTGCTGCTGCTACTGCTGCTGCTACTGCTGCTGCTGCTGCTGCTGCTGCTGCTGCTGCTGCTGCTGCTATTACTGCTACTACTGCTATTATTATTATTCATACGAGGCGAATAATAATAATTAGTAGTGTTTAAAGTGGCTTAGGCATCTCGGATCCGCGAAAACTCTGCGTCGAATAACGTTTTTATAATTCCGTAAAGTATTCGAGTATTGACAGCGTCTCTAACATTTTTCACTCTCATAAATCGGAACCCAACACGACACGAGCCGCTGTCCGGCTAAAGCATATTAAACGTCCTCGACATCCAATCGTTGACTGTTTCGTGCTTGTATGGTAATGTGGCGGCTGCCCGATAACGACTACGCACGCTTAGTACTGACAGTCGTGGACATTCGCGAAACGATTTTGCTTATTTAAACGACAGCCATTGTGCGGCCGGCAATGGTCCACCAGTACGGCCCGGGCGCCCCCATCATATCCCACGCACAGCCACGTCCCAATGACAAAGAGACAGTTAAGACGGAGAACGAGAGGGTTGGAGGTAAGCGGCTTCAAGAGCCCCATCGCTCAAGGCTTACGATATCGCATACTCACGAAAGTCTCGACGTTGGCTCGCTGACGCTTGGCGGCTCCTTGCATCTGCCATAGGATCAAGTGCCTCGTGCTCCTCGCGACGAAGGCGCGACTTCGCAGCCCAAACACCGGCTCCTCCACACTACGAGCGGCATTTATTAGACACGCGAGAAGCACAAGACCCTCGGCCAGGACCCTCGACAGCAGTCGCATCTCGCAATGAGGGACGGGACCCCGGGGCACAGGGGCGCTACTTTATATGGAAAACGATACGGACGAGCTGAGCCGAGACATAGCGACGAGCCCTCCTCGATCCCCGCTGAATTCCTCCTCGTGGCCCCTCGTGGCGGCAATCGCGCTCGACTTGAATATGTACATTCGTGATCGCGCGCCCGCTCCTTTACTAGTTCTGCCGATACCTGCGCTCGATCGGCTATCGATATATGTACTCTCCTTCTTCCCGGCGCAGCGCCTAAAAAATACGTACGTACATGTGGTTATAAGTGGTGACTCGACGACATTCGAATAGTGACTTCCTGATTTTTTTTTTGTTTTGTTTTTTTGTTTTTGTTTGTTTTTATGTTTGTTTTTTTCTTTGTTTTTTTCTTTGTTTTTTTTTTTAATCCTTCTTTCTCCTCCTCCTTCTTCTCCTCCTCCTACTCCTCCTCCTCCTACCTCCCCCCCCCCCCTCTCCCCTCCCCCTTCTCCCCCCTCTCCACC